CTCACTATGAACTCTGGTAACTTTTGAGTTTGATTTTATGCAACAGCTGTAGCCAAATTTGTTTAACACTGTATTGGGTTTGCACGGCAGAGTTTTGGTAGTGGGGGAGGCTAGAGGGGTGGCTTCTCTGAGAAGCTGCCAGAAGCTTCCCCTGTGTCTGATGGAGCCAATGCCAGCTGGTCCCCAGATGGACCAGCCACTGGCCAAGGCTGAACTCATGCAATGGTGGCAGCGACTCTAGGATAAAGTACTTCAGAGGCAGAAAAAAACCTCTGCAGATGGAGACAGGAGGGAGGATATGTGAGACAAACAGCCCTGCAGACACCAGGGTCAATGGAAGAGGGGGATGAGGTGCTCCAGGTGCCAGAGCAGAGATTCCCCTGCAGCCCATGGTCAGACCATGATGAGGCAGCTGTGCCCCTGCAGCCCATACAGGTCCATGTTGGAGCAGAGATCCACCTGCAGCCCCTGGAGGACCTCATGTCAGAGCAGGTGGATGCCCAAAGGATGCTGTGACCCCTTGGGAAGTGCGTGCTGAAGCAGGGCAAGCGTGTGGGGAGTCCTCCCCCTGAGGAGGAAGGAGCAGCAGAGATTAGGTGTGATGGACTGACCACAATCCCCATTCCCCACCCCGCTGTGCAGCCAAGGGATGGAGGGAGAGAACTCATGAGTAGTTAAGCCAGGGAAGAAGAGAAGGGTTTCATTTCTCATTATCCTACTCTGATTTGATTGATAATAAATTAAGCTAATTTCCTCAAGTTGTGTCTGTTTTGCTCATGACAGCAATTGGTGAGTGATCTCTCCTTACCCTTATCTTGACCTGAGAGCCTTTCATTGTATTTTCTCTCCCCTGTCCAGCTGAGCAGGGCAGAGACAGAGTGGCTTTGGTGGGCACCTGGCACTCAGCCAGGGTCAATCCACCATAGAAGCATTTTCACACAGTGTCTATTCAGGCCTCACTGTAATCTGTAAATTGCAGAAATATTTTTTCCCCTTTAATCTCATACGGAAAACTGATTACTCAAAATGTTTGCCAGCAGCAGTTTGTTCAATAGGTTGAACCACAGGTCATCAGATACTGTGCATGTCACATTACAGAAGCCTTTCTCCTTTCTTAATTCAGCCTGGGCCTCCACATACGGAAAAAAATTTCAAGACTATTCACAAAAGTAACAAGTGCTTCAGAAATAAGTTAACATTATTGTTTTAGGCTGCCTGTTGGTATACCTCCAAATAATTAAGTTAATAAGTATTTCTAGAATTTCTTGACAAAATTTTAAAAACTGGCCTTAAGATCTCTATTTCCTTCAGTTTGGGGTTCTTGCTGTGTTAACTTTATATTATACTTTCTATATTACATTTCAGGGTTTTTTTACATACGCATATTTCTTTTTCTCACTGCAATCTCTCATGTACAATAATCATGGGTCTATGGGAGCACTGAAAGAGGTGTTACAGAATTGCTCGCACTTCCCAAACTGAAAGCACCAGTTGCTTGGGCTGTACAGGGAGACAACGATGCCAATGTTTTCTCTAGTAACTGAATGTACAGGGAAAGCCAAATGGAATACGAGAGACAAGACAGAGGAGTGCAGCAGAGCAGCTAAGCAATAGCACGAGCAACAGGGGGTCAGGGAATACAACTCGATCCCACAGCCAGTGTGGGGCAGCCCCAGCGTGGGCAGTGCCTGTGGGATCCAGGTCTGGCCACAGACCTTGGGGGAGCCCCTGGCACCCCGACCCCATGTGGCTGTGCTTTGACAGCCCTGCAGCTGGGATGAGACAGGATCTCCAAAGGAGGGGCAGCATCCTGAACAAAAGCTTCTGGTCTGTCACTACCATGCAGCAGCATATGACTTGAGCCAGCATATGGAGTCCCCTAGGATGGATTCTTCCCAATTTTCCCTCTCTTCCCTCTCTTCCCTATCTTGTTGCAACTTGAGCCTGAAGAATACCTGTGCCTTGTTTGTCCTAGAAAGACTGTTTGTACCTGCTTTTGCTGATTGAAAATATTCAATCTGAAATTAATTTTAGAGTGTTAGAACTTCTAAAGGATAAAAAAACTGATCCCGGAGCTCCATTTACATTCACCAAAGCCTGAGTCTATTCGGTAGCATAGAAAGCAGAACTGCCTGCAACACCTCGCCAGGAGAAAAAGCACAGATGAAAGGAGGAATCACAGCACTAAGGATTTTACATTTCCATTGCACTTTGATGTTCAGCTCTTGCTCCCCTCCCTCCCTGAAGCAAGCTAACACCATGGTGTGTGACTACTTGCTTCTAAGTGGTTGAATCTGCCTCCAGGCACTCTCCTCCTAGTCTTCCTTGCTACATTTGAAAGATCATCTGCCTCCCCAGCATCTGCTCATGACTGATGACGATCAATGCTAAAGGGAGAGAAAGGGCATCCCAATGGCAATTTTATCCACTGGAAATCGTACACAAGGCTTTCAAAATGGGCCAGCAAGAGGAAATTAAGAATAGGTTAGACTGTAATGATCAAACAGATCAAAGAAGTGAGAGAAACAGGGGAAAGCAACTCAGACATCTTTTTAGAGGCAGAAAGCCCTGCAGGAAAGGAAGTATGAAGGCACAAATATCTCAGCACAGCATCTTGGCACTGCACTGTTACAATTCCCTTGAGACAGCACAGCTTATATAGTATCACTATGGAAAGAAGAAAGTATTCCAGTAGGGATATTTGCTGAATAATACAGCAGTGTTTCCATCCCCAACATGTTAAAAACCCACTAAGAGATATATAATCATTTCTTAAACAAGATTTTTATTAAATGACGTAGTTTGTATTCTTTCGATTGTTCAGCTTTTAGTTTGCATCTGGATCATGTTTTCCGTTTTTTTGTCATTATGAGACACTAAAAAATTAATTGAAGATGATGTTTTTGTACAACAAGAATATCCTCAAGAGTAGCACTGTAATTAAATTATCAAAGATAACAAGGTTTGCAAATAAACCCAGGTTTGATAACACAGAGGTGTGGCACTCCACTGAAAAGTGTTGCCAGGCTTCATCCATCTGTCCTGGCTGTTATGGAAGGTTTTTGTCCTTGTAACACAATGGGGGTAGTTCTTGCTGAAAAGAGATACGTAGGCAGCTTGAATAATTAATTCTTTCAAAGCAGAAGCCACACAGGGGCCAGTACCTAATGAATAGAGGAAGAACACGGAGGGGAAAGAGTTTTGAACAGTGTGGCTAAGGACACCTTGTTTACAGCCCATGACAAACTCTCCTCAAGGTGTGACATTTCTTTCTCCTTGGCAGAAAAGCCCTTCCTGAGGCTCTGTAATCAGGTGGAATATTGTCTGAGAAGCTTCGTGGAACTGTCTGTCCCTCGTAAAGCATTTGTGGGCAATTATTGGGAAACATGTTAAACTCCTACCAATGTGCTCTACTGATGTGGAAGCAGTCTGCCTGGATGCTCCACAGCTTTCCCAGGTCAACTTAATGGAAAAACAGCCTGCTTTAAACAACCTATGGGAAAAATTGAGACACAGTTGAGAAGTAATGTTGCTCCTTTGCTACATGCATCACACATGCTACTGGCCAGACTGTGGTGAGAGGGACACTGTGTCACTTGGGGACACTTGTGTCAGACCAATTCCTAATTATATAAATTTCTTGTCATAGTGGAGTACCTGAACAGGACCACCTACTGCCTGTCTGAGAACAACTGCTATTGCCCTATAGTACTGTGAGTACATTGCAAGTCACTATGTCATTGATTAATGGTTTTCAATTTTATCTATCTATATCTATCTATATCTATATATATCTCATCCTTGCCATACAGAAAAACTATACAGAGCATCCACACCCCTGAAGAGACAATTTTGGGGAGAGGAAGTTAATTTATGTTACTTTATGTGTCTTGGCTCACTGGGAAAACACAGCAAAATTTATGTGCTTACAATTATCATTAGATCTTCATTTTTGGCAGGTTTAGCTACTACTTTCACTTCCCATTTATTTTTAAGTGAGTTGTGTGTTTGTGAATGCACGAGTTTGATGGCTCCAAAGACAGAGAGCATCTGTTTGCCTGTAAAGGAAATATATTTACAACATTCACTTCCACAAACTGCTCCCAAAAGAGCGCTTCAGTTGCACACTTGAGGGCTAACAAGGGGATCAGTAATGTAAAACCCCCGTCATCTTGCCAAGATTACTAATGAGGCTGCAATTTGCCAGTGAGAGGTTGCAACTGTAATGGGGTTTGAAGTCTTTTCCTTTTACTAGGAGGGCATTTTAACAACTAGTTCAGGCTCCTGAGTCACTTCCAGTCTTGCAAGTGTTCCCACAACTGTGCAATTTTGTTAGCAATAACCTCAAATCGTTGTGTCACAACTCCAGTGACTAAGTCCATACTTAGAAAACTAGGTAAAAACAAGACTCGGACATTTAGACAGATTGCACAACAATTTTAGCTAAAAGACTCCCTCTTATCCCCCAAGACACCCCTAGTTTTCATCAGAATTGTTTCATTTACTGTGTTATTCAGAATCCCTGGGTAGATCAGTGTTTGAAGAGTGATGTATAAAGGGTGATGCTTGTTTAGTAACTTGTAGTATTCCCAGTAAAACCCGTGCTCAGCGTTTGAGAAAAGAGAAGTGAGTGTCCTGGCTGCTGCAGACTTTGGAAGCTGCTCTGTCACCGGATCAACAACAGAGCTGACACTGGCCCTTCCCGATTTGGAACTGGAGCGTTGCCTGACCCGTTATCCTGAATCTGGATGCCCCAGACCAGACCCCCCATGCGGACTGGTGCCCCCAGGACTCGCCTAGAGGAGCTCTAAATAGAAACGAGGCACTTGAAAGAAAGTTTTGTTGGAGACAAACCGCAATGTTTCCTTCCCTCATTCAGGTTTTCCCGTAATCCCCATAACCCGGTGCCGGGCCCGCCGTTGCGGGCGGAGCGCGGGTGCCACCCGGTGGCCGCTCCGGGCGCTGCCGGCGCTGGCGGGGCCGTTCCGGGGCCCGCGGCCCCGCCGTGAGGGACCGTGTGCGCCACTCGAGCTGCTCCTCACCGCGGTGCTGGGCGCTGCTGTTAAACACTCACTCCTGGTTGCTGTTTCTCTCGTGGTTTATTTGTATTTTAAAAGTAGTCAGGATGCGGTTTTCCCCCCCTTCTGACGCGTGGGAAGCAAAGCCGGTGGCTCGTGTCTAACAGCTAAAGGAGAACAGCCACGCGAGCTGCCGGTCAAACTGCGTCCAACAGCAAAAGGGACCATTCAATCTGAATGAAACCAGAAGTGAGGCTCTTGCACCGGTCTGCTGGGGGGGAAAATCAGGCATAAATGGTCCTTTGGCCTCAGCTGAGGGCTGCTTTGGAAAGATGCCAAAATGGGATTGGGATTTGGACAGGAAACCAGATCCTGAGTATCTCAATTACACTGGTAAGGCCTGTGGCTCTGGCAGTGCTCATTGGCGCCAGCCTCACCAAGGCTGTTCTGCCCTCCATGATACATGAATTTTTGAGCCATCTGAATGATGATGGCAAAAAAGTGCTTTTTGGTTACTCATGGTTGTACAGGAAATGGTGAAGGACAGCCCAGAGACGGGCAGGGGAGGGGGCTTTGGAGTTGTCTCCCAACTCTGTCACATCTGTAACCTGTCAGCAAGTGCATTTTTCCACATCTAAAGTGAGGTCAATACTCTGCTTCCTAGAAATCAAGCGGAACTTAAAAGGTACTTTAACATCTTTGCAAGAGAAGGTCTATGTAGCAGGTAGCTTAGACAGGTAATATGTTATGCTTAAGCACAAACTGTGGATTCCTGTGTGGGCTAGATAAGACAACATTCATAGGAAGATTACTGAAAGCTGGTTAAATCAAGTCACCCACTTTGGAAGGACTTGGAAGGTGGCAAACCCACCTTCTTGCTGGGCTCAGAGAGTAATAAACATTGGTTTGAAATCCAGCTGGCACTTGGATACTAATGCTGTTCCTTAGAGACGGACACTAAGGTGTATTCAAAACATGACCAGCAGGCTCCAAGTAACCTGCTCTAACTTGTTTTCGTCAGGGGATTGGATCTGAAGGTCAATTCCACCCCAAATTATTTGATGACAAAAGAGTGGTGAAGAGCAATCTCACTCAGAATACTATCCTAAGGGAGAGAAGCTGAAACCAGTTCATCACATCCCAATGAACAATGGAGGGCAACTGCATAAACCAGATGACATGATTTGCAAGAGAACTGAAAGCATCAGATCAGTTCCGCTGCTTTCCTAATTTCATTTTATGATACTTATGTTCCATAGAGATTGCATAAACATGCACTCTTTCTCCTCCCAAAATAAATTAGGATTATTCTCAGGGAATACATCTAACGGTTTCATGTGCAGTCTCACTTGGGTTAAATAAAACAGGTAAACAGAACTCTGAAAATAATCTCTACTCCTCAGCAAAATGAGTTTTGTTTTCATCACTGAGTGGGTAGTAAGGATGGGTGAAAGAAAGGTGAGCAATTAAAAAAAGAAAAATTTGTTTTTCCTTTTCAGTCTGAGGAATAGCAATCTTCTCATACAGCAGCAGGCTATGGAAAGGCAATGCTGACACAGCCTCTGGGTCAGTCAGTGTACCTACACGTGACCTTAAAATTCTTATTGCAGAAGTTTCACTATTAGTCATTGTCTTTTTACAGATCAAGTGGGTTTTTTTACCAGTGAAATCATACTGCTCAAAATTTGCTACGTGCACATAAATACCCCACAAAAGATAAAAGCACCCATGCTCCCAATAACAGAGAGGTCAAAAAGGGGTAGAAATTGTGGTCTTTTAATTTCAATTTTGGTTGCTGCTAAGCTTCAGGGGGAGAGTGGTTAACTGGGGAGAGGTGGTGTTGCACAGAGGAAGGAAGTGCCCAATCAGTTTATTACAGAAATGAAAGTGATATTTCCTTTTATTGCAGATTCCATATTTCAACAAAAGGTGATGACAAAGAAAAACCTCCTGGAAGCTAACTGTTGGATATGGGATGATGGAGACCAAGATAATTGAATCAACAGAAAAAGTGGTAGAAAAGTTGAAAGTAGAAAATGGCTGAAAGGGATGGGCTGGGGGCAGCACATGTTCTGCTGTAAGATATGTTATTTATAGCACATGTTCTGCTGTAAGATATGTTATTTATAGCAACACAGAATTGTAGACTAATTTATGTTAGAAGGGACCACAGGTTGTCTCTAGTCCAAATTCCTCCTCAAGGCAGAGTCTGCTATGAGACCAAACCAGAGTGCTCAGAGCTTTAGCCGTTTAGGTCTTGAAAACCTCCAAGGATTGAGATTGTATACCCAGCATCTCTGGACAATCTGTTCCAATGCTTGGCTGTCCTCATCATGAAAAAGTTTTTGCTTATATCAAGTCATAGTTTTTTTAAGTTACAATTTATGTCTCTCAGTTTTGTCCTCTCACCATGCACTACTGTGCAAAGCCTGGCTTTGCTTTCTTGATAATCTCCCCTGGAAGCCCCTCTTACTTAGGCTAAATGAGCTCAGTTTCTTCAGTTTCTTCTTTATAGGGCAAATGTCCCAGCCCTTATCCATCTTGGTGGCCACCCACTGAACTTGCTGCAATTTATCATCACAGTCAAGTGTATGGAATATGGAATCAAATGTAATGGACTTCTCAGACAATGAGTATTCAGAAGAGAGCCAAGACTGGAGAAACATTTAGATGATTCATTGTCATCTTAATACTCAGGAACAACCAGGAGCTGAAGAAAAGCTTTGTATACTATTTAAATGTCATCTATCTGCTCTATTCTGTGGAGAATCTGGTTACTTGATCAGACCAGCTTTTGTAGGTTTTGTCCCCACTGAGTGTAGGATCTGTCCCAGGGCCATCATGAAAACCTGTGTTTTTACAGAACATTTCAGCCTAATAGCAGTTGTGCTCTGTAAAAGATTTGTCAGATGCAAGTGCACTATTTGATCAACTGGCTCAGAAGAGGGATATGCAAAACGGTGGTGGGTGGGAGAAAAAAGCATCTTTTGAGTTGACATATTATGAAATATTCAAGGTAACAGGTAGGAGAGCTGCATCACCCACTCTATTCCTGCTCCAACGAGCTACTGCCTGTACACTTCCAAATCTTGCTCAGCATTTTATCTAACAGTAATCCCCCCAGTTTGAAGAGACTAAAGGCAGCTCCATGCTACTGAAGTAGAATAGGTTTTTCCTCCTCTGTTTTAAATTTCTCTTACACCTTCCACAGTGAAACAGCTCAAAGGACTTTTCAACCAATCCACAAGTTCCCGTGCTCATGACAGAGGTCACATTGTTGCCCATTTTGATTCAGAAGGAAAGGTGGCCTGGCTCACTACCTGGCAAAGCCATACAGGTGTGTAGGGCCTGGAGCAATGCACAGCATGGGCTGAAGGGGACATACCCTCCTCAGTCATAGGCTTGGTGTGCAGGTTTCTCATGCAGTGTGGAAAAATATCTGTATGAGATGGAAAATGAACTAATCACAGTCAATGTACCTCCTTCTCCTTCTGTTTTCATCTCCTCTGTAGCCTGGAATTTTTCTGGGAAGATCGTATGTACTGAGAAAGGCAGTGGATGTCAGGATAAGGGGCCATAAGGGATGCATATTTTCCATTTCACCTGCTCTGTAAAGATGTTTTCCCTGAAAGTCAATATAGAGACTGTGAAAGCAGTCTTGCAAACTTGAGACTTCCAAATGATGCTGCAGCCAAGGAAGCTGTTGTACAGGTGTAGGAGTGATCTATAGCCAGAGAAATAAGTGATGGCAGTCTTTGGAGACCACACTGGGTGTCAATTCTTAAAGGATCCATGAATATCAGGGAGAAGACATTAGGAGATCTATCCAAAAGTATTAATTCCTGCAGTAAAAGCTTTGGCTTTCAAGGCAGCTGGGAAGACAGTTTGCAAAAAAACCCCACAAAACCAAACAAAAACCCCACAAAAAAACTCGTCCCTCCAGGGTGGGTTTCTTCTTGGGAAATATCTGGACTTGAGGGTTTTGGCTGTTTTGCAACAAATGCTGTTCTCATGTTTTTCAGAAGAGTGCATAATTTAAATTTTTTGATGGGTTCCTGGAGAACCTACTGAGTATCAAATACCAAATTAAGCAGCCTTTTTATTTTAGATGAATCTCCTGCTGTTCCAGGTTCTGCTTGTCTCTGCAGCCCCACACCTTTGGTGTTCCCTGTAATATATTTCTTTCAAAATCCATAGTATGCTGAGGAGTTCTTCTGGACGATACAAATAATTACACCCTGCTGCTCACCACATCTGTTTATGAGAAGAAAAACTGTTTTCTGCTTGATCAGCTTTGCTGCAGTAAACAATGTCAGATGTTTATTGCGAAATAGCTACAAATTCTGACTGAACTTTCAGCAACACATACTTGAAGGCATCAAAGTACTCTTGGAAGAACTTTTCACTCTGTGTGGGTGTTAGTGGTCTGGGAAACACTATTTTATATCAGTCTTGATTTAACCCAGCTTCTTATCCACAATTTCACAAGTCATACAAATAGAAGGCTTTTTTTTTTTTAATACTTTATAACTTCTAGAACTGCTAGAACTCTCTGAGAGTTATGGCTATGAGGAAGCCTTTTCCCTCTTTACTCCCTGTGCAGAATCCCCCAAACGAGGTATCACAGTGGGTGCATATTTTCAAGCTTCTCTAAACTCATACTTTACTAACCCATTTTGGATTCACTACACACCTTTAAACACAAGTGATAAATAGGAATTACCCCTTGCAACTGCAGCTATGAGTTGCAGGTGGCAACTCCACAGACTGCAACAGAATGATCTTAGATTTGGACTGACCAAAGAATCAAAGCTACTGAGTTGGGAAACTGAGCTGCACATGGATAACTAAACACCAGCTCTTTTCCTGCTGGAAAACTCATTGTTAGGCTGCCTTCTTTGGAGGACCCTGGAGAGACTTAGCTTGGTTTTTCAGCTAAATCATCTCCGTTGAGTTTCCTCAAGTCAATGCAAAACTGGGGCAATACTGACTGACAGAAAATGCCTGCATTCACTCCAGGATGGGACACGAAAGCAGCCCAACCCCCCAAAAAGGGTACCAACACAGGCCCTCTACCCTTACAAACACAGGCACTGTACTCTTCAAATCAATGTCTGCTTACTAGTTTTGTCTTTATTTCCACTCTTAGGCTGAATATCAGCTTCAAAAGAGCATTAGAAATTATTGAAGCCAGACATCTGATGTTCCAAGGGTTTTACTATGGAGGAGGGAAAATGGTCTATATATAATTTTTCCCTATTTCTCCCTCAGTTAATTTCTACAGCACCAAGATACATTAACACTCCCCCTCACCAGTTTGTATTTGTACCAAGAATAAAGCTTTTATTCTTGCCTATGGGGAGGTTAAGCATTTGCTATTTACGGGTGGTGTGTGGAGGAAAGATGGACCTAGGTTTTTTTTATCATTTGATGGGAACATGCAGTAGAAAACAGTATTTTAATCAGAAAAAAAATACTACTTTCTTTGAACATGAACTGAGTCTATATTATTACAGAAGTTATCATCTGGAAAGGCAAGAGCTGAGCTGGTGTAGCAACAGACGATCCTTGTAAAGGTATTTGCTTAGTTTAAGGAGAGCTCTGTAACTGAGAGATTTTTTTTCCTGTTACCCTTAACCTGGCCCCATTTTCCCTTGCAGAAACAGTTCCAAAATCCAGAAGAATCCCACAGCACTACACAGTAAATTCAAGCCAAACAACATTTGGCTTTGCTCTGCTGAAGCACACAGCTACAAGTGTTTTGTTTCCAAGTTGTAAAGTCTATCCCTAGCCCTCCAGTGAGAAAGAACAGTCAGATTATAAACTCAGGACTGTTCCACATCAGCAGATCCCATTTGTATATTCCATTGAGCTCCCAACAGAAAGTAATAAACACACTGATAACCTAACTAAACCTCCATCTAGCCTTTGCCAAACTATCAAAGGATCTATGAAAATAAAAAGGAATCCCCAGCCGTGCTCAGTAACCACAACTATTGCCTGCTGAACCTCTCAGGTGTGCACTGCCTGCTCCATGCTCAGGGAGAGGTAGAACCTGTGTCAACACTATAGCTGTACATCCCCAGCCCCACCCCATGTTCCTAGGAGGCCACAGCAAGCGACTTGTAGGTGAGAAGGTGGCTGTAAAACAAGCTGACATTTCTAGGAAGAAATGAATACACCACGCACACATACAAAATGTTACACTTTTGTTTGATTGTTTGTTTTGAAAGACTGTTTTCTACTAAAAATTTTTAATTGTAAATAGTCTTTTTTTAGTGGTATGCCAGTGGAAGGAATTTGTCTCCTAACTTTTAGAATTGTATTTGTATAAGTATAATGATGAGAGAACTAAATCTCTGACTGTACAGTTATGTCAGAATGCATCTTACCCATGTAAACCGTGTAAAGAAAAGTTGAACATTTCTTGCCCTTGCTGCATTTGAGCAACAGTGTTATTAACTCAGCCCAACCCTTTCTCCTTTAGAAGGCACAAAGAGGGGCTGTTAAAACAGTGCAGTTAAGAGTGAAGAAAAATAATTACATCATGTGATGATGGAATCTTGATACCACAGACATTTGAATGGAAAATTTCTACTTTCATAGCAAGGTTATGACGGAACACCCAATTTCATGTCCTTTTTTCCCCCTACAAAAATATCTGGATTCATATTTGATATTCCTTAATATTTCTTTTTCTCTTTTATAAATTTTTACTTATATATGTTCATGTCTGTGTATAGAAACAAAAAACTGTTCTGGTTTTCAAATAAAACCACTTAAGATTCAGTTTTAAAAAGAAGGAATTTAGAAAATATTTATTATACTGTATTACATCCTATTATTATAATCTCACCCTTTAGTGATCATATGCAGAAAGCATTTGAATATTCATTTGTAGAATGGTGAGGAATGGCAAAGGAAAGAATTCTTGAACTGCTTGGGAGAATCAAGTATGATGATGACTTACTCTTTACACTTGAATTTAAATGTCAAAAGAGACTTCTTTCTCCAAAATGTTAGTCACTGCAGTTAAACACAGATGCACAAAGAAATAGTTTGATTCTATGTGGGTTTTTTAATAGGAAGTTCAATTTAAAGCACTGATTACCATGAAACAATCTGATATGCTTATTGTAAAGCAAGTACTCATGTACTCACAGACATACTGGAATTAATCAGGTCAAACTAACTAACTGTTGAAATATGGAGAAGTCTCTCCAGCCAGGGAAGGTTATGCAATCTGAGTAGCTGATATAAACACCAACATCTTTCCCCTTAAAACAGTGATCATCTTGGAATGACTCTCCTTAATACCATTATTATCAGTGGTGTGAATTTCATAACTTCACCTTCTCAAAACTGCAATTACTCTACTTTTTCTGATCCAAACCCCAAAGCTTTTTTCAAGTAAAATTCTCACTGCAGCCACAAAGATAGATCAAACTTAGCCTAAGTTGTCTGCAAATACATTTGTTATTTGAGTTGCACACTTAGAAAGCTTCAAATTCCAGAAAAATCAGGCCTTGCCAAAAGTAGTAGACAGGCTGGAAAAATATGAGTAAGTGACTGCAAACATGCTGCATTCTGAATATCAAAAATGTGGTTTTGCCATTGCAATTCGAGAAAACCCAAGTGAAACCAAATCAAAAATCACAGATAAGGCCAACTTAATGATGCCAGTGCTCCTGTACATAGCCATCTTGGCTCTGGCTGCCACTGAGAATGCTGAAAATCAAGTCAAGATGATTTAAGGGGGGGGAAATGCAAATCTTTCTACGCCCCCTGCCACTCAGTATGTTGCTCTAATAGGCTGTTACCATAGTGTCAAGATTCTTCCAAATACTTGAACACTCTTCCATGATCAAAATTCAAAATATCTGTGATGGATATCAATTCTGGAAGATGCATCCCAGCACAGTTTATTAAAAATAGAATCTAAGGGAAGGGAACACTATTCCTTGCAAAAGTTGAAATTAGGTCCTTCTCCCTGCCTCTGCCTAATATGTAAAAAATAAATTAAGAAAAGGCAAGAGGGGGCAGATGTTAATTTAATTTTTCAGCTGCACAGTTTTCATGTGCTCACTGAGTAGCTTCAGCTCAGTGCTGCTTCAACTTACAATCAGTCATAATGCAGAGCTAATATTAAGGTACATATGGAAAAGATGGAATAACCCTGTGCAACAGTCCCACAGGAGCATGGCTGGCTACATAGGTGTGTGCAGAAAGCCCCTGGAGCCCAGGAGGATATCAAATTGAGCATGAGTCAGAAGTGGATTTCACAACAGCAACTGTGAAGCATAACTGCAAACCACATTGTGTTCATGGAAGCACAGTGAGCAAGACAAGGGAAGCCATTAAGTCTTTGCTGGCACTTGTGAGGTGGCATCTGGAATAGTGTATTTAGTTTTGGACCTCTGATACAGGGAAGACAGATAGGAGACAGTCCAACAGAGAACCACTGAGATAATTTAGGGGCTATAACATATGAGAAGAGGCAGCAGGTGAGCTTTCTCTTGTAACTAGGAGGGGACCTGTCTTCAGGTGGTTATAGACGACCCACCTTCTGAGGGGTGCATAGGGAAAGGATGAGAGGTAAAGGTTACAAGGTGAAGCAAAGGAAATTCCAGTTGGATATACAGAAAAACAGTTGTTGTAGTGAGGGTGGTTAAGACTGGAACATATTTCCCAGAAAGCCAGTGGAAATCACATTCTTGGAGATACTCAGAAGTTGACTGGACAGGGTCCTGAGCACCTGGATTTAAATTTGAAGCCAGTCATGCATTTGTTAGGGGGTTGGACTGCAGACATCCAGACATTGCTTCCAACCTAAATTATTCTCTGAGTCTATGAAACTTGAGTACTCTGCTACAGCAAGACTGCCTGCCCTGTATCAGAGAAAGCCTAAGAGGGTCTTGACCTGTATGGTTTCAGGAATAAAGAGCTGTCTCAGTGATCATCCCACACCATTCTTCAGGAGGCAGGAGGCTGGAACCACTGGCAGAGAAAAGGTCTGTTGAGAGACTGGATCTTATATGATCTTATGTCATACAGACCCAGAGTCAGCTGACTCTTTTTGCTGTGAAGGGAACAATTTCAGCAATTCTGCAAAGGCTTGGAGTGGGGAATTTTTCCTTTTCCTCATGGGATCTCTCTGCATGGATCCTTGCTAGCCAGACTTGGTGCAAAGGGCATAATTTTGCTTTGCTGGGAGAGCTTAGAAATTAGTATAACTTGCCTGTGTGTTAAGTGGCCAAGGACAGTGTTACAGCTAACATGGGGAGCCATTCCTTAGAGCAGTATTTAGCAGAAAGCAATTACATTTCGTCACTGCTTTCACTAAAATAAAGCAATCCCTCTAACTCCTCCTTCCCCTGCCCTCAGTGGGAATATCTGATTATAGCCTTTTCACTCAAATTCTACACAGCTCCTCTTTCTTGAGGCCTTTCACACAAAAGCAAAGACTCGCAAAGAGGAGACAGGCACCATTGTATCAGTGTGTTCCATGGCAACGTTTTAGCACTCTAAGAGTTTGCAGCAATCCAAAGGATGTTTCTGTCCTTTATTAATGATATTTCCCAGCTGTTTCTGGTTGAGAAAGAGAGGTCTGGTCCTTCTTTGTTACAGCCTCCAGGGTTCACACAGGGAGCTCTGTAACTCCCTCAGGCAGGAGGAGCACAGTCCCAGTGCAAGGCTGCAGATACACAGACCCTGAGCCTATGGATATTGAGGTACTGTACTTGTATGTGTTGCACATATATAATAAAAACTAAGCACGTTTAATCATATCTATGCACAAAATATTTGTCCACAGCAATGCAACCTGGAAGTACCTTGGGGTTCTGTCCTTTCTTTTGTAGCAGCAACTGTAGTTCTTCACCCCTTCTCTCTTAGGACATGTTTTTTTTTTAGGACTAATTTTTCATTTCCTTCAGTAAAGTTTTTATATAACCTTTCTTCTTTGTGCACTCAGTATCCCCTTCTTATCCTGACATGTACATTATGCAAACATGCTTCACATTCACATAAGCCCTGCTCTGAATATATTAGTGCCTTCCCTGCAGTGATTCCAGTGGGGTTGTGGGTTTGTACAGAACACTGTGTAAGGCCCAGTTCTTACTCCTCTTTAACTTAAGGTTTCATTTGGATCTTCATCCTTGACTTTGGGCTTGAACTTTGAAGTGCTAGTAGGAACTGTTCCTAACAGGAACTTTCTGTAGTAGATTCTATCTGCATTCATTCTGTTTTAGATAAAATAGCATGGATACAGGAATGAAAGTATTTGGAATATAGGCTAAACTCAATATATTATGTTTCTTTTAACAATTTCATCAAAGCTGGTCTGGCATTTTTCATTTGCAAAGGGCAATGACACATGTCAGAGTCATAAACCAAATGCATGTTTAAAAGGATCACTGGGCTGGACAGTCCTACTGCTTTCCTGCAGTCTCACAGAGCTATTGGTTTACAGGAGAAATGTTCAATAGCTGAGACAAGTGAGAGGAAGCACAGGAAGGGTCCTACTGTGGTCCAGAATCACTGTTACCTCAGTAATGTGCTACCATTCAGCTCAACCCATTGTCAGGATACAGATTTTTTTACTGAATTTATAATTCCAACCTTAGGGGTGATATTTGCCATATAAATGGATATAAAAAGAAACAACTCCATGAGCAGAGGTCGTAGAGAGGTGTGTATTATTGCAAATAAAGACGGGGGAAAATATGAGTGGTGCAGCTGTCCAAGTTGTGATCTTCGAGTTGTGATGAGATGCCATTTCTCAAGGAAAGAAAGATTTCAGAAAGAAAAGTGAGATTAAGCTTTTTCTCTCCAATAGATAGGACACATAGTACAATTCCTCCTGTAGGTACAGATTTGTGTCTGGAATTGAAGGCCTCCTTTCTGCTCAGCCCACAGATGTGCCGTCCCTTTCTTTACGAAAGGGAAGCAGCCACACACAGAGCTTGCACCCCTTAGTTCAGCACAGAAGGTGATCATACTTTGAATGTCGTTTTTCATTGCAGAGGCTAAAGTTTCCTGACATTTGGAGTGAACACAGCTTGCAGAACATTTAATACCACAATGCCTCCGGTGCATTATGCTTACTAAGCTACTTGATTATTACGAATCCAGGCTATCGAGATAGATATGATGGCATACTCATAAAAGAATGGTTTTAAAATCATTGAACTCTAAGTTATAGGTCATTCATGTATTTTACTATCATTAAAATGGCATTAAAGGAGAAAGTTCCATCTCATAATAATGCCAGCGAGGACCTTACACCTTGACGCAGCACATACATCTTTAATATAAAGGAAGGGAAAGACTGACATTAAAAGAATTAACTGCTTCTATAACTTGAAACTGCTATTTTTATGTACAGAATCTGGACCAGTTTTAAATTCAAGCACCCTTACAATACCTGAAATGTTTCCACATATCTTTCCATATCATGCAGAGATATAAATGGCATATTTTAGAGTTCTACAGCCCAGGCCCTCAAATAAGGCCTACAAGATAGGATGTGCTTCCTAGTCTAAAGTCTGAACACCAGAGAGTTCTGTGACTTTTTTCCATTATAATTCTGCACAGTACCAGCAAGATCAAGGCCTTTCAGCAAGACTCACTTACATGCAGCACTGGTGCATCACCTCCCCAGACCATACAGACTGAGCTAGCTCAGCTGTCTCCATAGCACAGAAATGCCAGGTGATGCTCAGGTTAAACTGTGAACAGTGACCTGCTTCCCTCAGTAAGGCTCTGTGCAGGCACAGAGACCCTCTCACTGCAGAATGCAACTCTGGTCATTTATTTTCACCTGCATTAGGAATTTTCCCAGAACATGAGAGCAGAAGTGTCTGTGTGATATTCATAAATATTGTCAAAGACTCAATTTTTTAAGATCCAAAAGGATTTTTAAACGTTTTGTATAAATTTGATTGAGCTATTCAAACTGATAAACAGAATTTTCACATCATGCCAGCTGGAAATATATAATAATCCATTTCTGACTAGCAAATACTTCTTTTAGTTAGGCAAATTTTGAAACAAAATTAGAAATTTTTCATTAAGGAGATATGAAAATAAAACAGGATGTTTTGTCCCTCTGCTTTTCCCCCTTCCTCTTTTTCTGCAGGAGCCATTTATTCACATCCAGGCTAAATTCACACATCGTTCCAGACTGAGGCTTTTCCTGTGATCTTCAACTAAAAAGTTTCACTTAGTCTGTGAAATGACTCCACGGTTTTTAATTACATATATGCTAACCAGGTATCTGTTCCTACTCCCTCTGAGATTTAAAGTCCTTTCTTTTCTGTTGGAGATCTGCTCTTTTCTAGAAGGAATTCTAGTAGCATGGAATTTCACCTGAGATAATGGTTCTGTTTCTCAGGACAGATGGTTACACCTATGGAGTGTGGAAGGCAGCTCATGCTTGCAGCAGTCATAGACCAGAAATGAAGGACACAATTTTCTGAATGCCTGGGACAGTTCTTGGCTATCCAAGAGTTTTGCCTTTTTCCTGATAAGGAATTACTTTATCTGTTACACAAACTGGTAACTATATTGACCGTGCAAGGTCTGCAATTCTTTTTACAGTTTAGCTTTTAATTGAAAAAGATATCAAGCATGCAATAATAGCAGAAGGCATTCACTTACCCTATGACAATGCAGGAGATGGCAGTTCCCAAGAAGGCATAGGTTAAAATCGATCCTAAGTTGCGAAAAAAATGTCTCTGGAGAGAAAAGTTTGAAAAAAAGTCCTTTGTAATACAGTAAATAAAAGAGCTTTCAGTCCAAGATGAAACACTGCATTTAGAAGTGCCATTTGTTACCACACATATCTCAAATATAAGATGGAACAATACAGGCTTGAGTTATTTTGGAAAATACAATTTAAGAAGTTTAATTTTTTTCAATGGGGAATGCCATCAAAGTTCCCTCATTCACGGGTCTGGACAAATGCTTCATGATCATAACTGATGTTCACACTGAAAGTATCTGATCCAAAAGGTATCATGACCCCATCCCTTGAACACACAAAGCCCTGATCAGGCAGTGTATGAAACACAGACAGGCTGCTGCCTGCAGTTCACCACATTCAAAGTGGTTTCTTCTGAAAACAGGAAGGCCCAAGTGTTATAACCCACACAGTCAGATCTTTGCACAGCGGCAGAAAGGGAGCAGAATGAGGCCATGCATCTCTCTTTTTTTTGCCATTCCTGTCAAGTTCTTCCTGTGCAATGTAGTTGTTAACTGGCCCTTTCCTCTGTAAGGCCTGTTGGACTTACAGAGAAGCAGCCACATTCAGTCCCTTTTGTCATATAAAAAAGAGACACATACCTTCTTTAAACTATATCCAGCATGGAATATAATGGGTGGCAGCAGAATATTGAAGAAGATGGAAGGATCAAAGGTCATCTGCCAGAAAGGACAAAAGAGAGGGTAAGGACAAATAAACCAGCATTTAATTTGATAGGATAGGTTCTAATTGTAACTTCTTATCAGAACTGATCTGAGGATCACCTTCAATGTCTGCAGAATTATTCTGAGTTGTTTTCTTGCAAGTATAAATGTGTAGTTCCTTACAGCTTCATGAAGCAGATTATTACTTGAAAAGTATTCCTTCAAGAAGGAAATCAGTCATGTACTACGTTCCAGGGAACACATACAAGCAGTGTTAGCTGTGATAGCAGCTGCACTACCAGGCAACTTGACTGTCCCATGGCTGAATTCCTGCTTCAGACACGGACCTTCCTGCTCAGTTTCAGGACAGACGCATTGGCAGCGTTGTGCCTCAATTCCCCATGTGCAGAAGGGTGATATAAGAAAAGGCCTACACTGGCAAACCCGATGCAATGTTTCCTTTGAAGGAAACCTTTTATAAAATACCCATTAAAATTTTTAAAGTAATGCTAGAATGAGGAAACCAAAAAGTTCCTATTCCAGCTGTTGTCAGTACACTCTTCATATTGGCCTTCAACTTCTGGCACAGAGAAAGGCCAAGGACAACGTTCAGTCATTGCAATTCATTACAAGTAGCTTTCAATAAAATAGAATCTGCTTTAAAACCACAGCATTGCTGGAGAAAAAAATACCTTAATGGACCTGCGTGCTGCTTACTGTTCTGTCATGGGCTGTATTATATCAATACTTTTAAAAGAGGCAGGAGGTAATTAACACAAAGGCTTGCAGCTACTTGTTCAGATGAAGTGATATTTTAAGGCTACAGTATTCTAGAATAATTATTTAGTTTCAAAAGAGTAAGAGTAATTACTTCTGTCTTATTAACAGACAACCTGATTTGATAAACAGGAAGTGAGAGTTGAGACTTTTGTCCATCCTACTTACTTTGAATTAGAAAGCTGAAAAAAGTGAGCTGGCAAATAACCTCCTAAGAACTGTATCTGTGCTGGTACCTTCAGTGAAAACATGACAGAAAAAGATTTGCTTCACTTATTAACTAACAGCCTCAAATGTTTGTTTTGGAATTAATTTAGCAAATATGTAAAAATATCTTTTCCACAGACATCCGAAATCCTGACTGCATGTTTTATTATTCAAAACCCTGTTCTAAAGTATACATGTTTATAAGGCATGGCACAATCTATTCTCTGTGATAAATGCAATACATAAATGCTTTTACTGCACTCAAAAGGGAATTGAAGTTGTACAAAACTGAGGGAATGGTGTGATCATGCTTTCTGCTTTTTACAGTAGTGCTTTTGCCAGTCAGGAAGGCTGCCAGCAATTGCTATTGTCTCCTAAATATGGCTGAATTTCTCCCCTTTTCCTTTTTTCTTTATTTTCTTTTCAAGAGGGCATTTGCCAGATAATTTTAAAGGGAAAAGAAGTGAAAATCCAGGCAGACTAAGGCCTCTTCAGTAATATAGAGAAACCAGCAATTCACAGTTGAGACTTTTGAGAACCTTCCAGCAAAGTGAGACTATGGAAAGAAAACTGGGCAATCCCCTGTAAGGGCAACAGAATCTTCTGTGTAAGTTAGTGCTCCTCCCTTTTCATAATACAAGTCAGCTCCAGTGTACCAGGTTTGATGAAGATGTTCAAATGGAATGGACGTATGCCCTGGAAACTAAACACACACTTTGGCTCAGATAAAGCTCTTGCAGCCAACTAGCAGGAAAATGGATGAAGATTCAGCAAAACCTGATTAGTCTGACTGCCACAGTGTTTTCCTGTCTCCACCCACCACAGCTCTAACAGTCCTTGACAGTCTAGTTCTTTCTGAGAAGGGCAAGTCCAGCAGTCACAGCAGACAGACACACAGTAGTGCTGCATCAGCAAGAAATTTGAGCAGATGGTTATGTCCTAATTCTGCTGATCTTCCCAGTGTACATTCTAAGCATAACTTAAAAGTTGTTATAACGATAACCACTGTAGTATATAGGAACACACATTACTGTGCTAGATAAACAATAGCACTTGGAAAAAAGCAAAATACTACATTGCAATATTGTAAAAAGCTACTGGTAAGGGCTTAGAAGCTTCATGTAAATATGCAATGTCTCTGAGCACAAAAGCTAGGTTTTAAAAAGTGCCTGTGCAATCAAGAGTTCTTCAAATTGCTGCCATTTTTGAAGGAAGTAAACATTATAACAAGTAAATATTACATGGGTGGGGAAAAACTATACTAACAAAGTAAAATATTTTAATTGTTATGCACTGGAAAACAGAAAAAGCCATGACATTGTGAAAGACTGCAAACTTTTCCCCACAGTTCCCTTTTCCATCCAGCCGAAATTGCCACAATGCCATCTCCCCAAGCTCGGGGACAGCCAGCGAAATCCCTGCTGAGGACCACTGCAGGAGTGAAAGAATGTACAAGAATGTTGTGATGAATTTAAGAATTATAAAACCCTCCACTTATCTCTGGGAGTTTACATATTTACAAGTTTGTGTTTTGAAGAATGTGTAGAGTTTGTAGTTACTTGTGCTGTACACAGGAGACAACCTCCCCTGCATTAGCCTGCCAGAGCAAGTCCTTTTTAAGACAGAGGACAAATAACGATATCAGTGGGGTTTATAAAGGTTTGGTGGCAATGAATATCCAAGTTAACAGCTGTGTCTGCAATGAACTCAGTGTCTGCAGGATCTGGGGCTGCTTTCTAAAAGAGTCCAGGCAACTCTTCCACAAGCATACAGTCAGCTGTGAGTGAAAGCATGGTCAGGTTTCTACTGCACCTTATTTCCTTTCCTGTTCTCCTTCCTTGCTTACCTTTCTCACCCTAAATTCAAAATATCCTCTGTCACATTTTAACTTGAAACTTGTTTTCCTCTCTCAACAGTGAAAATAAAATAAATATCCTGCACAGTTAAGAACAAAAATAAGTTTTACCTTTTGAAGCATTGCATTGCCCTGGTGTCCATTGACATTGTGATGGCTGATCTCTCTTTTGTATTGATATTCATAGACCTGATTTGTTATATTAATAAGCAGAGTGGATGGCCCAGATTTCAGCTTTTCACATTCATAAACTGTTCCACTTTCTACATCTGATGCTTTTGTCACATATCGTATAATTAATCCCATTACGAGGCCTGGAGAGTAAAGAAAAAAAGAAAAATGAGAAAGATTCAAGTACTTTTAAGTATTTGATGCTACACAATTACTGATTTAGAGAAAAAATAACTCAAAGTTAGGACCCCTTTGCAGTGTTTCTACCTTCACAGAGATACACCTCTCTCAACACGCCATGGATGACCATAAAATAGTTTTCCAAAGTGGTCATTTCATTAGAATGCAGATGTTGGTTTGACATATGTGCAGTTGTATTCTTATTTTTGTGATGCACTTGCTGGAATAATTATTAACTGAGTTTCTCATGCACCAAATTTTCAATAGATATTCAGAGCAGGGAGATGCCTGCATAACTAATATGCTGTACTGAGCATAAAAACATCAGCTGTGCTGTTGGTGATTTTACACACTTCATCTGTGGGGACAAAACTCTGACACATCCTCAGGCACATTTTGCCTTCTGTAGGAGACTATTTTTAAGACTGTATAAACATAGGACAATAAAAGCAGGGGGAAGGGAAGGAAGATTAGGACTGGAACTAATTAATTTGACTATCTACAATTTAGGACTCTTATCTGAGACAGATATTTTGTCTCCCTTTACATTTACGAAAAAGGAAAATGTACTTCTGCAACCATCCTGTGGAAAGTACGCTTCTTTCTGTTGGCTCTAGTGGGAGCTTGCATGTTTACTTCAGGAGAGGTGACTAATATTTAGCTGATAATATTACTGAGATTATTTCCACCCTCAGAGACTTGGATTTGGTTTCAAATTCAATTTCCATGCTTCTTTTATGTCCTATGTGCTTTAAGTACCATGTATAGGATGAACAGCTTTAAAGTTACTAATTATGAACATATGGTAAAATGCTAAGAATACTTAAATTAAATATTGATGGAAGACATCTAAACATCTAGATAGATATACTTACTAACGAAAGATAAGAAAGAAAATAAATTACAGGAAGTGGCTGAGAAGCATCTGTAAAATATGATATTACAGTTTCAGTTTTGTCCTGTAATCAGATGCCAAGTGATCACAAACACCTAGAGAGATAAATAGGATGTCTTTGTTATTGTCAAGTTTTCTGATAACAGAGATTCTCTGAACTGCAGATTCCTGGCATACATGTAAGGCAGGTTTGTAGGCTCTTGTACTGTTGCTAGAACTGAGTAACAGCTGTATTGCCTGTTCAGTCTGTGTATGCATTTGTGCTTGTTTAATATCTATTGTTTACTATGGTTGCTTTCTGTAAATGATAGAGGATTTCAGTAAGCTGTAGAAAATCCCAAGGCCACTTTCTTAAGTTACACAGCATTTGTGCAATAAATCTCATTATAAATCTACTTGTGGTAAAAGAGAGAATTCCTCAAAGTTTTAAGGGAAAGCATGTGTGTGTAGAGGGAAGCAAACACTGCATGTGCTCTGAAATATGATTTCTACAGTGGTCAGCCTAGATGTCCAAAATCATGAGTCAGAAACCAAGAAACCAGTCATTAGTTAAAACAGTCAGGCTTTTCAGCTTATTTTTATCAGATTTCCTCTAGGAGAACCACAGTTTTCAAATTCAATTTCAAATTCCACAATAACTTTGAGAATGGCAACATGGAACTGCTCAAGGGAGACCAGTGGAGACTGACTGACATTGCATGTAATGTCTCTGTTGTAGAGTCAGGTCCTGTGTCCTACAATATTTCAAGATTCCTGGTAGGTGTGTTATATTGGCTAACAGAGCATTTCCTTTGAACCAAATTCCATTTGGTTGTTTTAAAAATTAAAACGAATGTTCTCAGTTATAGTCATGCAATTGCACTGAATGGTTCAAGGGCAAATTATTTAAACCTGTTGTATCACGTTTAGACTAGTAGTAGAGGACTGTTCTTTTATTCTGTATTCTGAGAGGAAATGTTATCTTCAGCTGTCATTTCAAACTGCCTCTGTAGGAATTTTCTGGAGTGAAAACAAATGCAAATATCCAGATCCTAGTCCTGCAAGACAGCTCTTGAGTATAAATAAATCCATTTGCAGAAAATGAATATTTTAAATATATGATCACAGTAGCTTTAGAGAAAGAAAGATCGACACTGACTGAGTTTTACAACTGGAATTCAAGTTTGTCTTTTGGGTTTTCTTCTGACAGCTTTGGATCTGATCCTCTGATGGAGTCCAGATGGGAGGAACGTACAGAGCCACACAAATTATGAAATGATAATGAGAGAACAAAGAAATTATAGAGTATCCAGCAGCATAAACATACTGGAGAAAATACATTAGAGAAGATTCTAATAATTGATATTCTCAGGGTTTCAGCGGGGCTTTAAGGTCCTTGCAACTCCCAAGGAAATTCTAAAATATATTAATTTGAACAAAATATGGACAGGATCCATAACGATGGGCTGATTCAGAATATTCTCAAATGCTCGAGAGAAGGTTCAGATGAAGACAATTGCCATCAACACACTATATGGCAAAAGCCAATGTAAGTAATGGGATTGTATTCTTCCTTCAATAATAAATGTGCCAAAGACGCTATATAAAATCCCCAGGGAATTAAAAATCAGGGAAGAGGGTATTTAATATTTTAGTAGGTGTATCATTTATGGAATGCACTTTCTACTTTAAATCATTATATAGCATTTATTTCATAAGAGCATTCAGGAGTCCAGATCATATTCTAATAGAAATAATTAATTTTTAAATAAGCATATAATGTACTCTCCTTTCCACTACTCCCCCTTCCAGACTGAAGTCATGCTTTTGTGATGTATTTTCTGAAGCGTGCTGTATAGTTCATTTAAAGGAAAAAAATTGGGAAATACCATATGGATGCATTTACCAGGAAAAAAAGACCAATAACTTGTAAGTCTTTTGCAATCAATGTTTCATGGCAGAAAAAATTTAACATGAAGTTTTTCTCACAAAGCTCTATGACTTTGGTATGTAAAAACAGACCTTCTCTACAAATAGTTCTGATTTCCCAGTGGGACACACAGAAAGCTTGGCTTTACCATGTAAATCTAGGAATTCAGCAGGTAAAACTCCCTGGAGATGAGTCAGGAATGATGTTGCACTTGTTACCTGACATCACAAGTAGGTATTGCACTGAGGTATGAGTTGTCATGAATGAAAGTTTCAAATAGTTAAGTTTCAATGAGTTAAGGATGTAGATAATTGTAAATGCAAAGTCTTATGCAAGGTAAAACTTGAGTGTACTAGCATAAAGTACCTATCTTATATTCTAGATGTCCAAATCTACTTATAAATGTTTTCAGCTCAGCTGCCCATTATTTAAGATATTTTCCTACCAAGGCCTCATTTAATTCCTGTTTTAAGCACATTTATTTAAATGCAGCAGTGAAACAGGAATGGCTGTAACTAGTGTTACAGATTTCTTTAAAAAGGCTCAACTATCTTTTGAAGGAAGATCTTGCAGGAAAACCTCACTAACTACGGCTCAGTCATGTTTCAACTGAAGGCAGTTCAGGTTTTCCAGCTTGTTCAGTGGAAGTAGGATAAAATCCTTAATCATAGATGAGACCATTGGAAGGGTTTTCTTAAGTCACTCATGCTAAACTCCTGAGCTAAGCAGGGCTGTTCTTTCCCCAGGATTCTATCTAGTCAGCTATTAAGCACCTTCCTTAATAATGACACTCAGGGATGCAGGTTTTTCCAAATATTTTAGATTTTCTCCCAAATGTAATGATTTTCCCATACTGTTTTCTGAATCCTGGCAATCTTTCTTCATTATCAATTTTGTAAGCAGGAAGACAATGTAGTACTCTTCTTTATTGAGGTCTCTTTTTCTGAGGCTTGTTACATCCATTGCTGCCTTTGAGAATTAGGGCTACTCAGAACACACTCACCATCAGAAGGCAACTACAATCATTTCCACTAGATTTAGAAAGTGCAAGAATCATATTGCTTAATCATTAGACACCTCTACCAAAGCTGAATCAAGATCTGACTGTGCCTTATTTCCAAACACGCTGAATGGGATCCTCAGAAGAGGCTGGGGAAGGGCTGCTGTGAGTCAGCTTTCCCATTGCCCACCTGTCACATACATCCCCTCAAAACCTGGGGAAGCCCCTCTAAGCACTGCAACACAAAGCCGTTTTTGTGTGAGCACTCCAGTGACTCTTCTGTCATTCAGCCTTTTCACGTTTTCCTTCCAGTCTGTTCAACACAGAGCACAACTTTGAAAGCTGGTACATCTCCAATCAGGCTCACCTCCACCTAAAAGGTATCACACACTCCCTAGGGGTGATAATTAGCTGAAAACAATTTCAACAAAGTTGCTAATTAACCTTGCAGATAAAAGGCACAGATGGGAATGGTGGTGGTTTTTTTTGTTTATGTTCAATTCTGGCTGCTGACCTGCAGGAGCGTTTTAGCCTCTTCATCAGAGGTGAGTGGTGGCCTCTCTGTGTGGGTCTAATACCTAAATTCTGGGGAGGATGAGGCACTGGGATATGTGTGCCCAGTTTTTCATTGTGTAGCTCTAGACTATTTCCCCACTAATGTGAAGTGCCATGACTTACATATCATATGGGGAATTTGGCATCTTATGTTTTTTTGGCTGAGGTATCTAAAGACACCAGGCCCTGCAGGAGGTGGCTACAGGCACTTCAGTGTTTTATTGGCTGGTTGTCTCTTGACTGGTACTAAGAGGCATCTCCTGGGGTGTGGTGCTATGAGAGGGGTCACCTACTCTGATCTGAGAGAAGTGACAATTCTGGTTTTGTTTGTGTCTATAATCTACCACACTATTTCTCACTATGCTCTTGTACAGTAACTGTGCTGATAATGCACAGAAAGGATGTTCATCCCCTTCTGGGTGGCACAAAGTTCTTGTTTGATAACCACCTGCCTCCTTGGTATACAGATATCAGGAAGTGAGTTGAATTTGTTATTTGAGGTCTGTTTATCAAACCAAACTGCAACGTGCAGAGAAACTTGCTCTCTGAGATACAGGAAAATAAAGGAATCAATGAATAAACAGGTGAATCTGTATTCTTTATTGTTTGTGAGTGATTTTTCAGTTTGGTCTCAAAACAAAATAATTTGAGTCTTTAAATACTTTCAAGCTGAATGCCTTGCAATGTATATGCAAACACACATATGTGCACATAATTTTTTGTGAAATAATGTTGAATTCATGGTGAATTATTTGTTGTGAATTAATACTGGGTTATGTTAAATGCTTTGTTTTTTTTTCTTTGTAACTGCTGAAAGACTTTGAAATTAAATATAGCTATACTTAGTGTTGAACCATGTCTTTTATAAAAAAGTAGAGCTGAAACACCTCAGTTATGAAAGTTTCCAAATAGACAGTTTTCCACTATGGGCTTATGTTCTTTTTTTAATGAGCTGGAACTATTCAATCTAAAACTGAATTTTCCTACAAAGCTGATGCAAAAAAGAAAAAAAAAAGCCAACCCCCTCTTTTATTTGTTCTGCTCTTTAAATAGAACTTTCTATCAGGCTATGTTCAATTTGTGGCTGTTCAGCACTTTGCAGTAACTGTAAAACTTCCTGGTTTTGTATTTCTGTGGGTTTTTTCCCCTGATCTTCCTCACACTTCACTTTCTCTATCCTCTCCACTGCTGCACCCCTAATGGCACACTTGATGAGAAATACAGACCCATCTGTCATGCTGTGGGGCACAGTCTGCAATAAGTGGCCATATTCTTCTGTCACTCAAAGCCAAATTATCAGTTTCTTTTGTTGCTATTCACATATCTAATGAATAGCTGAATGGGTATGAGCAAAGCAAACTGTAGGACTGTGACTTTGAGTTTGTATTGAACAGGTATAAATCAGAATTGTTTGGATAGGGAAGGCAAAAATTATGTGAGGGCAGGATTTGACTCACTGTCAGTGCTTGGTGCCATGAAGATTTACTCCTGAAGCTGTTGCTGTTGATCTGACACTTCTCTCATGACCTCTGAAATTTCAATTTCTTTTCATTATTGCTACTCCACAATGCTAAAGATAACTAAACCCACATCCATACTTTTGAAGGATAAAAGGGACATCATCAACTTTTTGAATGCTACAAATAAGCTTTTTTCCCTGTTTGAAGATTGCCATAAATAATGAAAGACTAAACAGGTAGTTTATTTAAAATAATGAGGAATGCTTCCTTTGTTTGTGACTGTTTTAATAATTCAAAAGCTCTGTCCTGCTGGAGAACTAATCTCTGAACTGATCAAAAGAATATGAGTGTGTTGTCCTCATGATGTGCAGAGTATGTCCTGGGTAGGCAGCAAAATAGAACCAAAGGACAGATAAAACTCTAATTAAATACTGGTTTGTGTTATGTTGTATTTCTCCATATTTCATTTCTGTTTTGACAGGCTTTTGTCTAAATCTTCAACAAATGTTATCAGCTGTACATGGGAAACAGCCCAATAGTATACTATAGCTACTACAGAAGAGGCACCCATGTATTTAGGAAAACATTGCAATTTACAAGTGGATCATAATGAATATATTGCCCACTGTCTCATGATTTTCCTTTTGAGACATGTTAACAGAAATGCAATAAGCAAATGTATTCTCAGTGTTTTGTACCTCATAAAATTGTTAAACAACAATCCAGGTGATGTCTGACAACAAAAAGTATCCCAAATAAGTGTCATGTGATGTGTATTTCAGTCTCAACTGATTCAGCTGAAGTGTGTTTTCTATGTGTAACAGATTTAAAGATTAGAAAAACAGTATATTATTGAAGAAATATTTTCCCACAACTTTAAAATACAGGCAAGGCAGATGAGAATGAAGAATCCCACAGACTCAAGTGTTAGGGGCTCAGTGACTGGATTAATACAAGAGTTTCTTTTTTACTTGCTTTCCTTTAAAGTTTCAAGTTACTTGTGAAGACAGTGAGCCACGAAGATGAAACAGCCTGTGTTCTTGAAAATTCGTACAGTTAATGTCTCACACAAAACAGCTTTAAGGGATACAAGGAAGACTGAGCTTCAGCTTCAGTCCTCCGAAGATGCTGAGATCACCTGAAAATGCTTGATATAGCAAATGAAACATTTACCTCAAAATGTAGGGCTCAGTTGCCTTTGCTGTTGCAGGGTTTCAGATGAAACTTTTTGCATGTGGTGTCCCATGATAAACAAATTTTCTTCAGAATATGGAATCTTAACAAAGTCGGGTTTGGATATTACACTGCTAGAGTATATTATGTGCACAGAATGTGCCTGAACAGGCTGGCATTTAGATGGGTAATGATTGAGCTCTTGATCTCTGTCTTCCATTCTGGCAGCATTACCTTCCTATATGTGTTTTATGGTAGGAGAAATGGCAGCCACATCTCTCAAAGTGAAACAACAGTGAGAGAATGACAAGAAAAATCATTATACACGTAAGTGTATACCATTAAACCAGTGAGTACTTGGGGACAATGCAGGAAGTTCTACAGGAAAGCGATATGTAACATGACAAAACTTCATGAAAGATTAGAACTAGACAGGCAAACTGAAATTACAGCACAATGACAGCATTCAGAGAAGACTGACAGAGGCATTCGTCATATTGTGTTTTTCAAAGGCATAGAGCAAAACCAAAAGAAAACTCTAAAGATCATTTAAACTTTATTAGACAACATGTCTGTACCCACAAGGCTCCTTAATCTAATATCTTTGAGTGTTATAAAAGCCACTGAGGACATTTCATTTTTTGGTAAACAGCAAACTCCCCAACTCCCAAGGTGTCATACAGTGGCTGTTGGACCACAGAGGAACAGAACATGCACATCCTGAGGATAACCAGCTCATGACAATTGCTCTCTCCTCAAGGCAGCCTCCAGCTACTTCAGGAGAGATGCTGCTACATTATTATTTTGCCATACAGTTAAGGAGCTGATGACATTTAATTCACACATTTTCTGAGCTTTGTCAGCACTTGATCTCAAGTGCCTGATCAAAAATATGCAACTAGCCCCATGTTATGCTGGCACTTGAATTTTTACTCACCATAAAGCATAGCTCCTCCAGTTTCATGCAGAAAGCGGAATCGATGGTTTTTAAACAACCAAATTGTTAATATTGTAAGAATGAGCAAAAAGTTAAAGACTAGCAGCTCCACAGCTCCCTGATGATAAAACTGATCTTCATCTTTCACTGGTACGTATTTCTTCAACTTCTCCATTTCATTCCCTTTATGGAAAAATATGTGAAAAATAAAAGAAGAAAAAAAAATCACAGGAACAGAAGTGTTATCACCTTTGGTACAAAAAGTCCAGACACTACAGAAATTCACAGCAAGCACATCTGTTCCATTTGCAGCCTCATAGTAAAGTGCCCCAGCTCAGAATTCAGCTGGATTCTAGTTACAGCTTCCTGTTTCTCTCTTAAAGCTGCCCTGTCTCATTTTTAATGTTACAGTTGTGTCGCTGGACTGCGCTTGCTCAAGCTGTGGATGCACAAAGTGCCTCTGAGCCTCAGACTCTCTTAATTTCTAAAATTCTGTTGTAAAACTCAGTGCATGTTCATAATGTTTGACCCTGCAGTTAATAGCACAATCTGAATCCTAAAAATAATATTTTGCCTTGACAGCTCAAGACAGAAAAAATTATGTTAAAAGAATGACATAGAAACCTTTACTACATTTTGGAAGTTTAAAAATCTTTCCTGTTTCCCAGTTGCCCATGTTTAAGTGCAGGTGAGGTAGAATGCAGGTGACACTTTACTGTGGTGCAAAGACAGAAGAAAAAAACAAATCAATGAATAAGTATTTCAAGATTTAGGCATTGCACATGTATTGAACCTGCCAGAAGACAGAGTGATCTCTGTAAAAGCAAGGGTCTAATTACCTAGAATTAAAAGTAATTAAAAACCTCTATCAAATGGAACAAAATGCAGTGGAATTTACTCCCCATCGTTTCTGGTGTTTGCTTGTTTTCATTTACTCAATTAAGCCAGGAAAACAGTAGAAATACTCTAACTATGTACAGCAAATCCTCCTGGAAGCTCTTCTATCTGAGCTCAAGGATGCAATGCATGTGTATATGGAAGAATTCCAAATAAACTCTCATCTTCATCAGAAAAAAACATCAATTCTGCTTCTCATTACGAAAAGACAATCTTCTCATTATTTGATGTTAAAGTCTGCTAAAATTTATTTTTTAAAACATTTTGGGGCAAACTAATCTGGACACAGTCTATTCCAAGTCAGATATGTGTCACAGGTGAATAAACCAGAAATACCCAGCTGTCCATACTCTCAGTACTTTCAGGGCTGAGTGTTCTTGGGGAGGCACTGTTGCTTCAATCAATCTATCATGTTTTAAAATAATTTTAGCTTGATAATCAATCAGCTCTGTCCTCTGCATAAACTAATTTCATCCCATTTTACAGGTTTTCAGTTTTTTTCTTTCACCTTGTAAGAAAAGTTGATTCCTTCTAGTTCTTTTTCAGTTAATGCTTTCTCCTTGCTTACCAGATATTTTTTCCATCTCTATCTGAGAGTGGTTTCACTCTGTTCTCTCCACTCTTTCACTATCTTCTCTCCTTTGTGCTTCCCTCATTTTCTCTTTCTTTTTGTAATTTTACCTGATAATTTGCAAACACAGTTAGCATTGGTTAAGGCAAAACTGTATTTCTGAAATGATTTTCAAGGGAGTCTCTGTGAGATGAAAAGTTGGCAAAGCCCAGATGACACTTCCCAAACTAATGAACTGGGCAAGTCAATTTTAAGCAAGGATAATGGTGGTAACCTGTACTTTTTGAGAAGTATTCAATAATGTATTTTGAATTTAAAAATAATGTGTAAGGGAATTAGGTGCAGCAATTTCATTATACAACAGATGCAACTGTCTAAAAAGTGTTAGTCAAATAGCTAAGGCTTCTACCCTTTATAAAGGAGAAAAAATAAAAATGAAGACTTGATCTGGGTGTCATATTCACAGTTTAGAATGATAATGACCTCAATTTTGTGAGTCTGATCATCCATCTCCAATGTGGAGGTATCAAAAGCAAGCAAAAAAGATCAATTGAAAATAATCACATTCAGTATCTTTTGCAATGAAAACCAAAGGTTTGTTTACTATGAAAGCCAGAGTTCTTTTCTACCCTGTCAAATAGGTAATTTGCAAGCACTTATAATAAAATCAATGGAGAAGAAGCATGAAACAGTGAAAGGAGGTCACTTATACGAAGAATCTCAGTGATTAGATTGTTTACCTCAGATTTGGGAGACCAAGTTCAGTTTTTTATTTGCATTTACCCAAACCCATATTTTTCATCAAATAAAAAGGGGTTCCTTAATCTTACTGCTCGAGTAGGTGCAGTATGAAATATTTGAAACACATAAGTGTTAATTTTCTGAAGCAAAATTGGGTTATGACTCTGCCCTATCTCACAAGATAATCTGATGCCTGTTTATGAAACAATTGCACATTACAGTGATTTGCACCACGCCAGAGCTTAAATGAAAACAGAATGTCAGATTTAGTTACCAGGCTTGCAGGTGTTGGACGTGGGGCTTAAATTCTGACAAAGCTCCTTATATAACTCCAGGGAGGTCTGGTTCTAGGGAGCGCTCATCAGGTTACAGGACTGGGATTTCAGGTGTTGCTCTGCTCTCAGAGATGTCAGGGGACTTCAAACCAGCTTTCCAGCCACAGCCACCCATCACAGCTGCCACTTACGAGCAATCCAGAAATGACATCCAAAACTGTTGTTTCTCTTTGCATCCTCAAACATTGTATTAATTAATTATTACAGTACACCATCTGTAATACGCAAAAGATATGATGATTAAGGCAAGCTAACTATCTGTTGCAGCATGTTTGCAAGTGAGAATTATACATATGTGTTATTGGGGAAATATATTGGAACTATATGGTGCAGGACCTTAAGAATGCTTTTTGCTTTTAGTAATCTGAGGATATTTTGGCACTTATAGGCTACTCAGAGGGATGTCCCAAATGTTCAGGCTCATACATGGAGAAGAGCTAATGTGAAACTTGTAAGTAATAGAAGAGGCTATATTATAAGTTTCAATCCAGTTAGTTTTGTTACACTTTGTGCTGAATGGTATGGCTGTATTATTGTTCTCTGTATGCCATATTATTTTATCAGAAATATAGATACACGGAGCCAGATACCTCTTGAGCTAAATTAAACCAAATCACCTCTCCAGTTTTTCTTCAGGAAAGTTCTGCTACATACAGTTTTGTAAAGAAAAATGAGTTTGGGTAGATGAGAAGCAGCTCTACTGAGAAAGTAGAGCTACCCATGAAGAATACACAGGAAAACAGTATAGCCTCAGAAAACCTAATTAGGTTTTGCAATAGGATCTCATTTGAAAAAACATTGGTAATATTACCAGGTAATCTGTTTGATTCTTTCTGTGCTCAGGTCTTTCCACATTCTTACACGTAACCAGATTTTCAGTGGTATCCAAACCCCTCACCAGTTTCGCCTCCTAACTGGAATAACTTCTCTCCAAGTTTTGGTTGGTTTGCATGTCAGATAGGACAACAGCATATTGCAGCAGTTGCATCATATTTGCAATTTTAATAACAGATGGTAATTCAAGAAGAAAGGAACTTGATAAAATAGAAAGTTACATTTTGACTTTCAGAATAGACTACCAGGTAAATGAAGAGTTTTCACAGGGAGGGTGTTTTGAATATTATTTAACAGGCCAAATACAAAGCCAAACAAAGTTTCTGGAAGGCAGTGCATCAAGTAATTCTCATAATACCACGCTTTATCTCCCTTTGCATGTAATTTTGATGAACAAGAGGTAGTTCTTACTAATTTTCTATGTTCACCTTATCAACTCTATGCATTTCACAGAAAAATAATCCTTTCCTCCCTTAGCTTGGCAGATGTAGAAGTCTGCTCTTATAGAAACTATCAAGATGGAAGAGAAAGCAAGAAGAATCTTGTAAATCAGTAGAGGGATTCTCACTTTGGAAAATATAAAGTCAGAAAAGGAGCACAATGTAAAAATTGTAATTAATTATAGTTAGTGAGAATTCCAAGCAAAGATGCAAAGCTTTAGCAGCACTGGCAATTCTGCAAGCATAGGAAAAGTAGAGCCAAAAGTAAAAGCAAACACTGAAAACAAGTGTATCTATATATGTAATTAAAAAACCGAGCAAAGCCAACTCTGAAACTGAGAAATCAACCACGTTGTGAGTGCACAGATAACAAATGTTCTGTCACAGCTCGCTTGCCTAAAATCCCCAGACAGACTGGAACAGGATTAGTGGGATCACAAGTGGTTATCCTTCTCTAATCCATTCCAGCCAAGAAGATCTGCCCTGCTAGCTCCTGTTCTGATACACAACTGCCTAGGAAATACTGTGGGCTAAGGCCACTTAAGGCCACTAAGCCCACAGTGCTAGGCTAAGGGTCAGTTTATAACTGCCAGGCTTCAGTGTATTTTGAAATCTATTCTTCTACTGCTTGGAATAGGCTTCCTATAACATCAGTTTATTTGCAGGTTGTTATTGATCTTGTTCTCTTTTTCTTTCTGAGGTCAGACTCTGGTTTTACTATTGCTTATTCGACATTGCTGGTATTCCATCTACATTGGTCACAGAGTCTCTAGTGACAGACATAAATCCACATAATCTATATATCTATTATATTACAGCTATTACCCTTAGCTCAAAAATAGCTTTAAAAATAATTTCTGCTTACTGGAATACATCTTTCTATCCAGAAAGTAAAGTCTGGGTTGGTTTTTTTTTCTCCCTTCTTGATTTGGAGCCTGTTTTAGTGACTGATCACAATACAGTACTAATTATGATGAATATACATTAAGTTGAGTGGAACTGGACTTTTAATCTCCCAAGAGTTGTGATGCTTCTGCTCATATGTCACTGTCTCCAGGCATTGTATCAACACAGGAAAATATATCCTCCTTTTTGAGCATGAATGAATTCAATGCACCATGTGATGTAACAACCAGCTCAGCACACTGTAATCAGCATGCTGGGATATCCTTTAGAGACCAAATTCAGTTCTGAGAGAGTAGAAATGCTTGTGTGCATTTTTCTCACTGAGAAGACAGAAATGCCAGCACACCTGAAGAAATTAAAGCTCTGAAAGAGAGAGAGGAGTTTGGTTCTATGAGTTGTTATTGTACGGTTAATCTGTTCCAGTTTAGACAATTTTAACCAATAGGTTCAGAACTAAGATGAGTTCTTACAAAATTCTGGGAAACTGATATCACCTGTTTATACAGTTTAAATTAATCCACATCATTAAATGTCAGGATTATGAAGGAGGTATTTCCAAGTTTACTTTTGTGGGTTTAATGTTCATTTTCAGCTTGAACTGCTGTCCTGTGGTATTTT